GGGGTTGAGTGACCTATTCTTAAAGAAATGATGCTGGCCTTAAGTTTTCACCCATCTTTTGTTGATCTTATTTCCCATTATTTTTCTATTGTTGTTTATTCATTTTAGCTAAATGGTGTTCAATTTGGTTATCTACAACCTCAGTGGGGTATTAGACAAGACAATCCAATTTCTCCATATTTATTTCTTATATGTATAGAGGCATTTTCTTGTCTATTATAAGAAGCAGAGATTCATGATAAATTGTCAGGAGTTCGAATAGGATAGAGAGGCCCCAAGCTTTCTCATTTATTATTCGCATATGATACTTGGTTATTTTAAAAGGCAACAACACAAGAAGCTTGACATATTTAGGATATTTGCAACTGTATAAAGAAGCTTCTAATTAAGAGATCAGTCTTGAGAAATCAGCTGTTGTTTTCAGTAGTAATACTAATTTATCAACCCAGCAAAATATTAATCAATTCCTAAATGTTAAAGAGGTGGTCACACATGAAAAATATCTTGGTCTTCCTACTACTATTGGACGCTCCAAATGTGAGGTATTCTATTCTATCAAGGATAGAATTTTACAATGAATTCAAGGATGGAATGAACAACGATTATCAAAAAGGGACAAAAATTTTGTTGAAAACAGTAGTTTAGGCAATTCCCAATTATTTGATGTCTTATTTCAAAATTTTAGATTCTTTGCTAATGGATATCCAATCAATGATGAGTAATTTTTGGTAGGGTGATGGAAATAAGACTAGACAAATTCACTGGATTAGTTGGGATAAACTTTGTACTAGAAAAGAAAATGGGGGAATGGGTTTCAGGTAGCTTAAGGCTTTAATCTTGCATTATTGTCTAAGCAAGCCTAGCATATTGCTCACATCCATCTAGCCCTCTTCATTAGGTATATAAAGCTAAATAATATCCCAATGTTGATTTTTTTAGGCTCAAGAAGGATCTTGACCTTCCTAGTCTTAGCATGAATTATGTGAGGTCAGAAAATACATTGAAGCAGAAAGTAGATAGCAAGTTGGTTATGTGTATTCTATCAAAACCTAGAAAGATAGATGGCTTTTAAGTGATCTATTTTTAAAATTGTGTCAAGGTCTGCTGGATTATGGGAGAATTTGACGGTTGATTGCTTAATAGACTATGATTGAAAGACTTGGTGAGTTGATTTACTACAGGAGCTTTTTTGGGTGGACAATATTGAATTAATTCAAGACATCCTAGTTGGAGACTCGCGCCATAGGGAATTAGGGATAAGATGATTTGACACTTTTCCAAGAATGAATCTTTTACTATAAAGAGTGCATATCACTTGATTAAGAAGCGATCTTCTAATTCGGAGAATTTGCCACCAAGTAGTAGTGCTCTAAATCAAGGTGTTTGGTCTTGGTTGTGGCATTTGAATTTTCCTGTGAAAATCAAAATTTTTATGGAGGGTATGTAAAGTTATACTACCAACTAGCACTAAACTCAATACTAAAGGTCTCAATTTAGATACCTCTTGTCCTTGTGTCTTGCTCTAATTTATGATATTAATCATACCTTCTTAGCTTATCTTGCAACTATGCAATTATGGGCTTTCAGTTTTTTAAGCTAGAAAGTTCAACTACATTCAATTGATCAGGTTAAATCTTGGCTTCCTAATCTTTTTTGCAACTATCAAGCAAGGAGATGGAATTGGTGGGTGTTATGAGTTGGAATCTATGAAATAATCACAGTTGAGAAGTTTTTGATGGATCTTATAGGGACCCTCTTAGTTTGGTCTCCCTGTCTATAGAGTTCCTAAACTAGTTCCATGAAGTAAATTCCAAAGATGAGTATAATATGCCCACCTCTCTCCAATCAAGGTCATCAATATCTCATTGGATATGACGAAGTGTAGGTTTTGTTAAGCCAAACTTTGATGGGGTTGTGTTTGTGGATGATAGATCATCAAGGGTTAGTGTTATTATCCGAGACAACAAAGAAAGTTTTACTGCCGGATTGTCTAGAAAAATTCTCATGATAGTGGAACTAGATATAATTAAATCATATGTACTAAATATGCTATTCAATTACTACATGATTTGGGTTTCAATAAGATTGTTTTAGGAGGAGATTCACAGAAGGTCATCAAAATGCTTCAACATTTGGAATTTGATGATTTATTAGGTGGTTTGTTGATTGATGTTTTGGTTCAAGATCTGATGTGCTGGGAAGTTTCGTGGATTCCTTGAATCATTTAATGTTCATACTCATCACCTTGCTAAACATGTTGTTAATCTTATAGATTCTTGTATGCGAAGAGACTCTCCTCCATCTTTTATTAGTTATATACTTGTTGCAGATTTGATTTCATGATTAATAAAATCATTCTCTTTTACTATCAAAAGTTTGATTTGTAACTTTCAACAACATTTTCAAGGATCATATTTCTGTGCAACACCAAATAACAAAGTAAGATCAAACTAGAAAGCATTCTACATAGGTTTTTATGATAAAGCCACCACTTATTAGTTAACATAATAATCTCAAATAGTGGCCTAACATAAAGTACTCCAACATTATATTCTCTAAGCTCAGTGTGAGGAAAGGACAACTCAATTCAAGATAGGGAAATAGCACATTAAATTCCATAGCATGGTTGCTTTCATCATGAACACAATCTTGAGCTCATGAACAATCAAATTCAATACTTTTAAATAAGAAAAGGCCTAAAACTACATTGAATTACAACCTTTTGATTTAGTTCATGCATTTTTCAAACATGTAGTGAGCATAATCCAATGCATGCTCTATTTAAAAAAAAATTGACATGATGACGTTTCTTGTTTTCAAACAAATTTGCTAGCTAATAAACACAAACTTTCAATTAAATTCCTAACATGAAGGAACATATGATCGCAAAATGGGAGTCAAATAATCAATGGACAAACTAAAGAGGACTACAAAGATGGAAACTAAAACTTGCATTGGTTGCACATAAATTATGGAAAATTTTGAATAATAAACAGAAATTATCTAAAAAGGGTTTACAAAGCCATATTAGTGATAATTTTGGTAGTGTCAGTGGCAATGAACTACACCAATGACCTCTTCTCCTCTGTTTTCTTTTATCCTCCTTTGGAAATCTTCAGGATTAAATTTTAGGGATGGAGAATGTTGATTAATGATAACATTAGATGGAGAAAAATGGTTAAGTTGGTGAAATTGAGAAGGGAGAGTTTAGCTGTGAGCCTTGAATTTTTGTGATGAGGTTTGGTGATAGAAAAAGTTGTGGGCAGCAACAAATATAGGTAGAGCAAAGATCAACACCATTTTTAATAAAATTTGACCCAAATTTTCAGAAAAGCCCACACACCTATGGTGTTAATGGGGGATTGTGAGTTACTATAAGGACCAAAAAATGCCAAAAGCAACATATAAGTGGAACAATGAATTTCTAAGTGGCTTTAGAATTGACTAAAGTATCCTTTTGTTCCAAGAATAAAGTAATGAGATTTATGAGTCAACTATAACACTTTTGGTAATTTTCATCACTATAACAAAAATGGCTTTTCCTGATATGCCTATAAGAACACTTTCTGATTTGTGTCATTATAGCAATCCTATCACGACACTTATTATCAATTCAATAATATATACTTTAATTTTTTTTATTTTATCTAATATAAAAATAATAATGTGCCTTTAGACTACCTACCATGACATTTAAGAAAATGTAAGATGTACAAAAATAAAAGACACAAAACGATGGCATTTGATTTTGGCGAAAACTCCAAAGTTTCATTTTGGCGGCCAAAAGACTTAATGAAAATTTTCTTCTTCAAGGCAAAAAAAGTGGCGGACTCGTCTAGTTGTCTTTTACCGTGTAGAAGCAAAACAAAGCCTTTCTAAGTGTTGAACTCTCTCACAAATCACCTCTACCTCACTTTCACTCAGACGCCCACTCTCACCTCTACTTCCACCTCACTACTGCAATCTCAATCTCTCTGACGATTGAAGACCAGTGAAGTACCATGGCTCTCTGGCATGAAGACCAAGTAATTCTCCAAGTGTCTGCAGCAAAGGTTAGTTCTTTCCCTCTCCTCTTTCTCTCCAAAATAATTTACAAATATTTTGGCCCTAAGCCTGTTTCTTTTTTTTCCTGAAATTTCTACCTTCATTCTTGTTGAAACTACATTTAGGGTGTAATTTTATGGTTATTTACATGATTAATCTTTTCATCCCTAGAAATTTTATTGCCCTAATTTTTAACTTAGGGGAAAAAATTGTTAAAAATTTTTGCCTTGTCATTATGAATCCCCTAGATTAATTGCATCATCTGCCTCTTGGCCCACTGGGGAAGGACTTGCTACTTTCCAGCCATTTTTTGCACAAAACCCAATTATGGCTGGACTTGGCAGGGGGAGAGTTGAACAAAAATTGACCAGCGGTTGGAAAATTTTGGTTGTTGTCGTTGGTAGTGTAAAATGTTGACCATACTTTCTGCTTCTTTCCCTTATTAGACAAACCTACTCAACAAACTTAGAAAACATTAAATTAGATGTGTTTTGCCACTAGTTTTGGGGGTTGATTTAGTTTATCCAGCAAGCTAATTGGAGCTTTTGTATGGGTATGCAGAATTGGAACAGATGGGATGTTATGTGCTTGATCTGACCCTATTTTTTCCCTCAAATTCAATCTGATTGAGTAGGCTGGGTATGTATCATATGGAGGGGTTGTTCATGACTTGAAATCTCCTTTGGTTATTCTTTTTCAAACTTGGGAGTTGATGTTGTGTAGTTTGAGATGTATAATTTTAGGACTAGCTTAAAATTATAATCACACTTACAACATATAATTCAAACTTTGGAGCTTTCTTTTGCATCTTCTGTGATGGGACATAATCTGTCTTGTTTTTTTAATGAATTGTTGTTATTCGTACCTGACATGGTTGGAAAATTCAAGAAAAATGCTGAACAAGCTGAAAAGCGCTCAGCTGAGATGGAAATTCAAGTCCAAACTCAATAGCAACTTATGCAAAGACTGGAGAATTGACAAGCTGAAATGCAAAACCAACAAATTGAAATGCAAGACCTTCTTAAGGCTTTGAAAGTTGAATTGCAGTCTAGGAAGTAGGGCAATGAGAGTATATCTGGCAATGATAAATGGTAAACTATCTTTCTCATACAAGCATTTGATTTAGCCTCGCTTTTGTCTTTACTAAAATTTGGGGAAACTATTTTTGCAGGCTTTGTATCAAGAAACTTTAGCAATGAATGCCTCTCCAAACAATTTTACCTTAAAGAAAGGAAATGGAGACTCTGCACAGGAACAAAAGCATAGCTTCTTTTGAGCACTAATGCAGAACTTCCCTCCTTTGGAGGTAAACATTTTAAGACATTCCTTTTAGTATAGTTCAAATTTTTCACGAAAGCAACGGATGCAATGCACATTTTGCTGTCCATGATTGCAATTTGATGTACTGAAAAGTTATTAGGTAATATATGGTTTCACCATAAATACGAAAACAACCTAGTATAGGTTTTTTATTGAGTGATCTCTCTTATGTTTCCATTTTCTACATTCCCTGATTCACGAGGAAACTAAGAAAAGATAAAACAAACTCCTGATTCATGTGAAAAACATTAACACCAAAAAGAAATTAAATTCTTGATCTACTAGATAATTACATTAAGTATTTAAAAGGCCCTGGTCAAGGATAGGACAGCAATACATCATTAAGTTTTCCAGTCTGTGTACCGGAAGGGTTGCTTTAAGTCTTCTCTAAAGGTAAATCTTGGCTTGTGATTTTTCTTGAAACTGAAAAATATGTGTTTTAATTTTGTGGGGTTTTAATATAAGCTGATCAAAGAACAGTCTTTAGTCTTTGTGAGGAAGATTAAGGATGTTGCATGGCCTTTTCTGGATTTTAAGGATGGAAGTTGAGTACTAAAATGGGTTGATTTTGTACTCTGTTTTATGAATTAAAGAGGTTGCTTCTGCTTTGCAGATGCATTTTTGGTAGTAATCATGTCGGTGGTTAGTGGTTGTACAGTAAATTGAGGACTAGTAGTCAGTTTTGTTTGATTCAATTGGGCCTACAAATGATGTTCATTAGTGCTTTCCATGTATTTGTTGTGAAAGGGTTGTGAAAATTGTAAATGTTCCAAGAACCATTTCTTGTTCTGTTCTTTCTTTTTTTAGTTTTCTTTTTTTTTTGGGGGGTGGGGAAGAGGAGGATCAGGGGCAGGAGATTGGGTTTATTGGACTTTGTGGTTGGTATAAGAGGATGAGTGGTGTGATTATGGTTGTTGGCAAGTATGAGGTGGTAACTAATAGATGAAATTAAAGCTTCTAGGTGGGAAACGTTATGATTTTTTCTCTAGCTAATATTTAAGAAGTAAATGCAACTAAAGCTTCATGATCTGCTACTGCTGCACATTTATGTATTGGCTTTATGGGCATTTAGTTGCTAATACTTATTCTGAAAGCTTTTAACTTTACGCATTGATCTGTCATGTAATTGCCGATATGAAATGCATGTAACTAGTTTTGTTAGCAGTTGACTTTATGTTACTGAGTGGATACAAGGTTTAGTTTTTCATTGATAGCAGATTGATCTTAAGTGTGAGTGGGTTGCAAAATTTCCCCCTGGAAGTGATTATTTCGTGGAATACAGAAAATTTGAACAAATTTAAATCCTTAGAATGGTTCCTAACTTTGAATCAAACAAAATGACATGGCTCGTGGCCTAACCCAGAGTAGTGGAAAAGGGGTTCATGTCCTTACATCGTGGCTCTTAGGTCTCATCATGAATGGCTTTGCCTCTGGAATCATGGCAATTTAATTTGATCTTTAGCAAATATATTGTGGCTTTTCTGGAAAGCTCTTGTTAGTATGATGATCTAATGATCCCCCACAAACTTTGTGCATAGATGGAACCAGCTGAAGATTGATGGGGACTTCGTGGTTATGACTGAAAGCTCTCATTTCATTGAAAAGTTTGGAAGCTACTGTTAGTTCTTTCAACTTGATAGGGATGAGAATCTTTTAGTTTGTGCACAAGAGAGTATTTCAAGTTTGTGTACATGAGAATGTTTTAGTACTTGTTTGGGATTTTAGTACTTACTATGTTTGTACTTGTTACCGACTTTTAATTCAATGAATTATATTTGAGTATCGACTTCTTCTTTTAAATTGCTATATGCATTCTGCTCTTTGGGATAATTTTACAAGTCCCTTGGGATTCTGGTTGATGGAATGTACAGCAGGGAGGACTAATTGCAGGTTGCTTCCATATAAAAAAAAACAGGGAAAAAACTCCTGGCAATTAAAAGTGTCAGCATAGCTTAGCTTCGAAAAACACTAATGACAAATGGGCATGTCGTCCTAAGCAGTGTAAATTCGCATGGCTACAGGGAATGCTATAGCAGCATGGTTTTCCTGACACATTTGAATGCTGCTAAAGATTTGAGGCTATCCCTACATTGGAAGGGACAACACTCGCCCTAGGTGTGAGGATAGATAAAGTATCAGATTAGATTATCTATACTGACACCTTTAAATGCCGTTAAAGGCCATTTTTGTTGTAGTGCATGATACCATCTACAGAGATCCAACAATTAGCATGTCTAGCCAAATATGTATGTTATACTACTATAGAACGTGAGCAGTAAAATATGAATTTCTACGTACAATAATAAAAGAAATGGTTGCAATTCGGTATTTGGTTATATTGTACTTGAATGAAAGGTATCAATCAATTTTGCTTTATTAACTCAATTGGAGAGTTTAGGAGTTTTTTCAATGAATAGATTTGATATGGTAGAAGGCAAATTAAAGATATGGAGATTTTTCTCAAGTTTACATAGGCGCAAAAATTTATGACCATATATATGTTCTAAATATGCCATCCTTCCTACATAACAAAAAAAAAAGATAAAACTTTTTTTAAGAACAAAGTGCTTTGTTTTCACCCTTATTGATTCCAACAACTGCATCAAAGTCCAATAATTATATCCACAAATGATATTTCCTTTCTTGCTAAACTATCAACAATTGATAATAAGAACAAATAAAAGCTTGAAATCTAAAAGGAGAATTTTCATAATAGAACAATTTTTACTATACCTATAATCCTACATCATCATTTGGCAAATTTTGGTTACCTCTATGTTAAGATTTCTAAAAGAATTAAAGTTTTAACTTTTACTTTGAATATACCACAATTACAACTCATGCATAAATATGATGATGCATATTACGAATAAACCATAAAGTTGACAAATGGGAGAAAACACAATTATATTCACTATAAAAGGAAAAGGCAAAGAAGAGAGCACATATTGGAGCCCAAGTTTTGCTTGATTTTTCCTTTCATTAATGATAAGGTAGAGGATTTGTAACAATAGTATAGACATAAAGATTTGAATTCCATTAAGAAGTAGGGACCAAAATAAAGGAATTTAGATATGATTAGATCAAGTTTTTCAAATTTAGATTAATCTTTTCTGCTATTGATGGCGAATTCACTTGATGCTAAGTTTCACTTGATTTTATCGGCCATAAAATCCTATCATAAAATAGAGGATTTAAGTGATAAGATTTCCTTTTCAATTTGTTAGTTTGGAGGAATTGGAATTAGGGATAGAGTAGGAATTGGATGATGAAATTGCTTTTTCATATTCTAATTTTGTTAATTTGGAAGAATCAGCATTAGGAACATATAAAGAAAAAGTCAAACTCAAGTGAGAGAATGGAAAATAGATAAGTGAGTGTTGATGAGTTAAACTTATATACACCACTAGTATATACACTATCACGGTTGGATGCATGACACCTAAACAAAATTTGAATTTCAAGTTTAAATTTAGATAAGTTATCATGTATCTAATGATGATAGTTTATACATGTCAGTATATAGAAGATTAACCCTGTGTGATATATGATATTCAAAAACATATTAAAAACCATTCATATTTTGCAAAGTCTAGTAATACATTAATTCCGATTTAGTAAGTGCTTGGATAAAACATGTAATAAACTTTCGGTAGACTATGCTTCACAAATTATATTTTAATTTTTAAAAATTTCTTCAACAATAATGACATATATTTTCAGCTTTATAAAAAAATTGCACCTATGTATATCATAATTCCTATAGATTTATACATATAAACATAGTAAGGTGTAACATTTTACCGAATGAAACGTAGAAAGATATCAAGTTTTAACTAGTTAAATGTTTGATACACAAAAAGAAATAGTTAAAAGTGATATTAATGTAGCATAATTTTTAAAAATTGATATAAATTTACCATATTTTTAGTTTCATAACTTTCAAACATATTCTACTAGCGTACGAATTTATATTCAAAATTTTACCAAATTTGTATTTTGTGTTTTTGCATTAAACATTTAATCATACTTTTAAAATATTATATAATATAGATATGTGTTACGTTTTATATTATACTTGTCCAGTATTTCACTAAGGGACGAGAGCCTCTACAATTACCCGTCCCAAGTGCACCATGCAGTGTAGATACTAGCATAATAAATGTGAACACCAGAACAATAAAAGTAGATACTAACACAACAATATATAAAATACAACAAATTTTATGGCACAAATTTCAATAAAAGAGAAAATTTGTTGTGCTTTTATTTATTATTATGTTAGTATCTACATTTATTGATTTGATGTTGTTGTTCTGGTATCTATATTTATTGATTTACTATCTAAAATTGTTCAGCAAGTGACTATATGTACCATATAGTTAGGCATATCAATGGGTTAGTTCTTACCCAAATCTAACCTAAACCCAATATATTTGGGTAAGATTTAGATTTAATTTCTTAAACTCAAATCCTACCTAAACCTAGACCCTATAAAAGAGCCATGGGTCCGAGTAGAGTCTAGTTTTCTATGAATCATGCCTAAATCCAAACCCTACTCTGACCTATATATATATATATATATATATATATATATATATAATTAAACAATATATATATGTGTGCATGTATGTATATTAATAAATTAATAAAATAATCTAATATTCTATGGCCATTGGATCAAAAACAGTAAGATTTCAAGATTGTTTTCTTTTTTCAAACTACTCCTAGTTGTCATTATAATTGATACAAATTTTTTTAGGAAAAGGAGAAAGGGTAAAGACAAACAAATAACAGATTAGATGTGGATACAGTTGATGTTTTGAAAATAAATATAAAGAGTCGATAATAGTTCTTTTTTTTTTGAGTTCATAATATTGTATTCAATTTCTTGAATATTAATTTTATTATTTGAAAAAAAAATTGGATAGTATTTATATTATTTTTGAACTCTATATATTTTTAATATGATTTACTTAAATATGTTCAGTAAAATACAATGGACATCTATTGAATACCCAAACCCATGGAAGTTAGGGTTTGGACTTACTTTTTCAGACCTTAAGGGTCTGAAACTAGTAAGGTCAAAGCAATCCAAGAGGAGAGGTGAATTAGGCTGCATAAAAACTAAAGTTGTAGTAATTTCACCCAATTTTAACTATTCAAAAATAGCCTAAGTGATCACACACTTAAGTAAGCAAAATAGCAATAAAGATAAGGCAATTTAACCATAAAAATAAGTAGTAAAAGAAAGAAATAAAAATAAAGAGAATTACAAGCTAAACAAACTCCCAAAATTTTTTCAAACTTGGAGTCGATTCCACTAGTAATTTCTTCAATTGATGGTCAAGTTAAACACTTTGTATATATGAAAGTTACTCACTCTAAACACTTTAGTTAAGTCAAAGCATTTTAGAACTTTATTCAAATTATCTCTCACTATGCTACAATTAAATGCCTCAACCACTTCTTCTAATATTGGTGACGCAAACCAACTTGTATAAAGAAGGGTTCACCTTTTGCTCATACTAAATTTTTTTACTCTAATTGAACCAAAGGGTTTTATAATTTTTCCTAGTTAACCCTCTCTAAGCTAAAATTGAATGCTCAACCAACCAATAAAGAACTTTTTCTATTTTTCAACCTCACAATGAATACAAGTGCACACCCAAAGAGTATTTTCCTTCTCCTTCAAATCCCTCTTACAAAACTTGTAATCAATGTAGACAAAAATCTTTCTAATATTTAGACTTGGGGGTACTCATAGGTAGTGAAATTTTGCCCCAAAATTTTGTCAAACGGTCAAAGTTAACTGTTAAAACACTGGCTATTGGAACTGTTAAACATCTAATCATTCATATTTACGTCCAACCCTGCGTCTGAAGGTTGTTGAGTTGATATTCATTGGAAACTTTGAATGTTAGCTAGTTGAGTGTAGCATCCGAGGAATGTATCTGACAAGATCAAAGTGTTTAGTCAACTTGTCGAACGTCCGATAGGTAGGTTGTACGTTTGAGCCATTGTCCGATCCTCAAAGTTAACATTTTCTTCATCTTTCGGATGTCTAATCTTAATAGCTAGTGGTTGAAACTACGTTCGATGCTAAGTGACATTCTTCATTCCTTTTTATTTTTCATCCTTTCTTTCTCAAATGTTTGACCATCGATTCTAGCAAAATTCTCACTAAAAACTTTAAGTCCAAATCATCATTTTGACTTGCCAATCATCAAAAACAAGAATTGATCAACCTAGGTCTTCAATCTTCCCCTTTTTGATGATGACAAACAGAATGATGATTTTTTTTTATTAAATAAATTATTGATGTTTTCCTACAAGTGCATAGGGGCAATCGTAGTAATAAATCACTTGGAGTATTCTAGAGGTCAAACCCACAAGAACAAGTTAATCCTCGCTACCTTAATTATTCTCACAAAAGATTAAACTAGTGGAGAAATTGAATTATCATGGAAGAACTATCAATTGATTTGACTAACTAATAAGAAGTAAGAAAACAATAGTTGAGCAAGCCTAGGGTTCAGGTTTTAATCCAGAGTTTGAATTAATTCTCCAATTATTTTCTTGTCAAATAATGAACGCATCACACAACTGTATTTCAAATTCTCTCTTG